CGAAACAAAACACTCGTCCCAGACCAGTCCGGGAATACGAATAAGGCCTATTACCGGTAATGCTAACCACCTTACACAAGATTAAATTTTATCCCAAGTTTCTGTATTCCTTTGTTCAAAAGCCTTTTTAAGATTACTTTCTCCATTCTTTATGGAGCATCCAATCATCAAATTGTCAAATTGACAAAAAGAATTATGCTGAATTTTCTTTCAAAGCTTTCAGATCTGAAATCAGACTTCACACTATCCTAGGGTTATCTCAACCCAGCTTTAACAACCAGGCTCAGAATATTTCACTGACCAAATATTAGAAGAACATGATTCCACTACAATAACTTGTAGTATAAGGAGAGGCATGAAACAAGGTGGAAATCTATCATTGGTTATGATCCAATACCACTCCAGTATGTAATGGCAAAACTTACCTTGTAAACTGCTGCTCCCCCAATCACAAAGATTTTCTCCACTTTGTCTATGTGTTGTGCAGTTGACAACAGATCAAAGGCACCCTGCAGGCTGGAACAAAGGGTGGCACCTGTAGGAGCTACACTATATGTAGACAATGAAAATAAAAGGATCCATTTATTGATAAATTTGTCTTTCAGTTATTGGGACATGCCATATAACAGATCAAAGGCTTGTAAGTAAAAGTAAAGCTCTATTGATGATCACAAGATGATGTTCTAACCATCAATAAAAACAAACTGCTCTTAACCAAGAAACTGGGAAAATGATTATGAGGCAGCAATATGGGATAGAGTGGTGTGTTTAGTCATGATGTACTTAAAATTGAATATTAGGCTGGCTTCAACTAGAATGAAATGCTGAATAAGCTGACCCAGTCCTCCCCCTCTCCCCCCTTTTACAAATCTCAAATGAAATTGATTGGAAGTTGAGGGATCATACTTCAATAAAAAAAATAATAAGGTGATTGAAAAAAAGCTCCAAATCCTGTCACAATACTGCTTGGATAATTATGATTTTTTAAAAAAATACCACTAGACTGTCAGTGCCAAGATAAGACATGCTTCATTGGATTCTGAATAAACTAACATTGAACATGAAACAGAGTCTTTACCTCAAGGTTTTACTCAACAAAATGTTCATTCTGTGGGGAAGGGGTCTGTATTTGGCTGGAATGGATTCCCACGTCTTGCGGCCCATGATAACGGCATTTTGCTTCCCTGTGAATGCAGAAAATTGTGCAATCAAATAATGACAATCATACAATTATTGGTTTTGCACTCTGCCACAATATAATGTAACTCAGGGAACTGGAACTGACATGATGAACTCATCAAAATCTCCTGTAGGGTTTTCATGCAAATTCATCCTACCTTCAGTGGGCACTCCAGAAGTGAGTTTGGAGAAAAACTTCAAATCTGCTCTAAAAACAAATTCAAATAAAGTTCACTCAGTTTAGTACTACATCTCTGTTCATCAATGTACTTGTCTCTGAGTCGTCTGCTGAGAGTTTAAACCAATCAGCACTAGAACAGAGAAATTCCAACAACATTCTCTGACTGTCATCGAATACAAAGTTTCATTTGGTCATGTGATGTTTCATTTGAGAACTAAAATAAATATGTTAACTTGAAATTTTATTTATTAGTGAAATAAAAAAAGAAATTCATTCAAAGAAAGAGAGTTCGTTTATAGCCAAGAAGTCATATCTCAGCGGGAGGTAAAGGTGGAGGTTGATATTCTGAGCCCTACATATTTACCTTACACCAAAATAAATCCAATTATTTTACATTCTTGCCAAAAATAAAGTTGAAACCCTGGGGAAAGTTCTTTGCGACCAATTAAAACTGACCCTTTTGCATGAGCAGATGTTTTCGTTACCTTTTTTTCCACCAATGTTTTCGGATAATGCTTATTAGCAACCTGTGAAATTTAGACCACGCCCTAGAAATGCCCTCGTACCTACATCTCCCCCACCTACTTAGACCCCCTAAGGGAATCACTGATCATAGAAATACTAAACCTTTCAAAAGAAGCAAATTGGAAGGTAATCAGATCTTGAAGTATCATGAGTACACCACAAAAATAAGAAAAGTTAAAGTTAAGCATACCCTTAAAAACATCAACATGACAAAATACGTTCGGGACGTGAATACTTGTGCACGGAACTGAAATTTGAACATTGTGAAGCGATCAGAGATGTGACATTCGCAACAAAAAAGCTGATTTGAGAAGCTTTTCCAGATGAGATCTGTAAGAATAACTAAGTCTCGAAATTTTATAAAGCTGGTGTTGGTTCAGTTTTCAACATTATTTTTTACAACGCAAGCAAACTTCAGGACTCCCAACAGTGGATCAGCACACGCACTCGCAAACATTATGCCTATACGATGCAACTAGGGTAGACAATGTCACCCAGCTTACTTCAGACGCCAGGGAAGCGTGTTATTTTTTCCAATTCCTCCACCCTCCGCCACAGCAACTACACAAGAAAACTTTCGCTGAGTAGTCATGTTTGATAGCCGTCCAAAGACATTGAAGTTGTGAAATGATTTTGGCGCGAAATGAAGCGACGCGAGGGTAAATGAAATAATTTATATAGGCCGCCATCGTAGAGAAGATTTGATTGGTTACCAGCTCGCATACTGATTGGTCCACAAATCAAAGCAAAACATAAGGAAGAAGCGTTGGTAAAAACGAAATATTCTGTGTGGAAATTTACCGGCGGATAAGAAGTTTTATCTTCATTTTTTAAAACTAAAACTTAACATAATCGTGTCGTAATTTACCATGGCTGAAGCCAGGGCGGCTGTTACAAGCCCCGATGTCCATCTACACGCCGAAGGGACCAGCAAAACAGAAGCCGAAGTTGAATTGCTGAAGAGTACTTTATTATCTCTTAAGAGATGTGCTTTCAGAACTCGGTAAGTTCAGGCGAGTGATTTCCGATACCTTGATCGTTTTACATGTAACACCTTATGACATTTTTACTGTTTCCCTTTGAGAATGTTTAAAATGAAGGTCTTTCTCTCTCAGTATTTACGATTTGAACTTTCGGAAAACTTTTATTTCCACATACGTCGCAGTTTTACGAGAGTTTTGTTGTAGTTATCACCACCAACAATGATATTTGAAAGCAAATAATAATGATACAACGTGAAAACTTTTGATCTCGATACTTTCGATCGAAACTAGGTTTTCAAAGCAAGCACATTGATTCTCTGCAGTTTACAGCGCGTGGTCGTATATTTTTTCGTACATTCCGGCGAATTATTGAAGAGGACGCGATACACGCACAGTATCGTTAGTTTAGATCCTGCTTTGACAAATTATTTCAAGAAGTAATCGCCGTACACTTCGTCAGAGATGAATAGAAGCAGAAATTCCTTGTAGTGTTGTCTAAATTGTAATTTTACAGACCAAATTTATAAAATTAAAATTCTGTTTATAAGACGATTACCACCTAATCCATATTTGAATACGACGAAAGAGCTTTGCCTTCCTTCCGCACGTTTACGTTTTTTCCCTCGAGGTCGAATCATCTACTCTGGCAGGATTTTAATACAACACTTATTAAGTTTCTCTTACTATTGTTTTGGCTCACCAAAGCGTTTTTTTCAGCATATCAAATTTTTGCGTGCTTGGAAGATGTTTTGAAACGGACTTTGAACCCTGCAGCTCTGGCATCCTGTCCCTTCAGATCAAACCGGCCAAAAACAGGAGGCCGAGAAAATAGACCAGAATGCAATTTTTATTACGTTTAGATTTTATTGAAAAAGAAATTAAGATTTTTCAGTTTCATGGAAAGAATATACAGTTCATGTTAATTGTACAGTCAATCAAAGTATAATGGCAGTAATACAATGGCAATCTTCACTTCATTAATTTTGCAATTGAATTGTGTGAGGAAATTAAAGCTTGGAACATCATGGCTTAGGGTATTAGGAAAGTTTTCATCCAAGTCTTTAAAATGCCAGATGCTTTAAATTTTGAAAAAATCTTAGTCATGTTTCTTGGTTGTGATGGCATATAGAGGCACTAATCTAGCAGGTCTAAACTGGCACTGAAGTATTTATCAATTGGCATCTATAAATATCTCCTCTCCATGTAAAGTTCTTGCAGAAATTTATCATTTGTGACTCTTGTTATCCTGTAGTGCTTTCAGAAAACCAGAAGGGAAACAAACATTAAAATAAATTCTTCAATAAAATAAATTCTTCAATACCAAGTTTGACTGAACAGAGGAAATGACTACCAGAGCATACACATACACTAACAATGAGTTGAGAGATGTTATCCATTAGATTTGGATGGTTTCCTTGGTGGTCCTATTCACTTACTTAGCTATGGATAGCCACATCTGAGGCATTAAAGATATTGAAGCCCTTGTGAGCTATGAACTTTTTTCTCCTTGGGATCATTACACAGCATTCTCCCTTGTTTTAAGCAGGAAAGGTGAAAGAAATTTTCAAACCGGTATATTAATCCCTCTACTCGTTGAATTTTCAAGGAATTCCAAGTGAAAAGGAGACAACTGATTACGGCTCTGCCACTCAGCAAAACTTTATTGTTTATAGCTAAAACTCATGTCAGGACCCATGATTACTGCCATACTGTTTTCCAAGCCAGATATGGTGAACTACATGTATTTCTTGAACTGACATGGGGTTGAGTAAATTTTAATTGAATCACCGCTATTTCACCCTGGATATCGTAAAGAAACTCTCAAACAGTTCTCCATTGTCTTAAGTAGTTTTTTTTTTTTGAGAAAAGAAATCCTCTAAAAACTGAACAAAATTGAGAAGATTTATTTGTACGTGAGAAAGCAGTGCATAGTTGAAAAAAGACAACAAAAATACGAAATTCATAAACGTGCAACAATCTAAGCAAAATTCAATTGTGACTGTGGCATGTGTAGTCATTGAAATACTGTGATGCTGTATTGCAAGGTGACCACACATTTGTTTTGCACCTTCCCATCTTTTTGGTAGTGTACTTTACAACCTTTAAACTTCTTGGTATGTTGGTAGGCAGAAGTGAAATCAATTCTGTATGATAATCCCGGGTATAAGTACCAGTTTCACCTTGCTACAAATAAAACTTATGGAAAAACTGTGTGCATGTACTTTTACTCTGTTCAATTCGTGTTTGTATACTTTTTTTTTTTTTTTTTCAGCCGCCAAATAGCAAATGGATTATGGCCAACAACATGGTCCAACTTGTTGGGTGCTGTTGTGGTCATTGCTGCTCTACTGTATGCTGCTGATTTCTACAAGCTATCGTCCCTCAAACCGTTTACAGCAGTCATATGGAAAGTGACTTATCTTCTTAATCTGGATGAGAAATATCCTTACAACCTCAGGCTTCTGTTCATTTCAGTACTGGCTGGAGTGGTGTTTTTTATTATCCTTCTCTATCTACGTCAGTATCTGTTGAGGATGCTTTTGGCTTATAGAGGGTGGATGTGTAAGTAAACTCGTTGCTTTTTAATGCTTAAACTCCCAGAAGTGATGATCATGTAATTTTTCTGTAGTATTTCTATACATCTTTAGCAAACAGGTAAATGAGAATACTTAGTAATTCGGGCCCATTTATCATAGCCTCTATTATTTGAATTGAAGATGAGACCCCAAGATCACAAAGCAAGCTGACACTATTGTGGGGTGCAATGGTGAAAATTTGTGCTGGTCACTATCCAAAGCTGTATAGTTATCAAAACAGTCTCCCAAGAATGCCTGTACCAAATCTAAGTGAAACTTGTAAAGGACTGTTGCGTTCTGTGAAGCCAATCTTGAAGGAGGATGAGTACAAGAAGATGGAGGCACTTGCTAAGGTTAGTGTTCAATTTCTATGTGGTCAGTGTTTGATTTGAACTGTACAGCTATATTTATTATAGAGTTAGTTGATATCAAATACAATTAATCGGTTTATAGTGGTTATCTTGAGCTTTATTTCATTCATGTTACTCTCATGTAGTTTGTTAGAACTAGCTTGTTTATATAAAGACAGACTACCCAACCTTTTAAGAAAAATTATTTTTAAGGACTTACCTGGTTGAATATGTTTGTATCCCTTAATTGTCTTGTACATATCATTTACATGTAGCATCAGTGAAGTGTTTGCTTGAAAAGTTAATGAACCTGATAATTTCAAAAGAATTATCAATACTGTCTTTAGGACTTTGAAAAGAACCTTGGTCCCAAGCTCCAGTTTATTTTAAAGCTGAAGTCCTGGTGGGCACCAAATTATCATACAGATTGGTGGGAAAAATATGTGTACTGCATGGGCCGTTCTCCTTTACCTATCAACAGCAACTACTATTGTTTAGACCAGCACTGGCATCCCACACATGTCCAAGCTTCAAGGTAAGTATTTATGCTCTGTTGTCTATCATAAACGATTTTCTGCATCAAGGCTTTGCCTGCCTTCTTTGAATACTTGAATATCACTTTCCAGTCCTGTTAGGCCATTGAGGTTTGGCTCTGGCAAGCCATAGAAAATGTACAAGATTAGATTCTGAGAAAACCAACCTTGCCTTCATTGTAAGATTGTTTTTACATTTTGCTTACTATCTAATTAGAGTTGGATGCTAAGAAAAATTTAAATTGACCCAATTCACCTGAAATTTACAGATAATGAATTTAAAACTTTTTAGCTGAGATGTAATATAAAACTTTTTGACTTACTCAATTATAGAGCTGCAACCATGACCTACCTTATTTTGAAGTATCATCAGGAGATTGAAACTGAGCACTTGGAACCCCTGTTGATCAGGAAAACTATTCCCATCTGCATGTGGCAGTATGAAAGAACATTTAAGACAACCAGGTAAATTATGATAAATGCCTTAATATGATGGAACTCAAGTGAAGAAATGATGGTCACAAGTGAGCTGTAATTGAAGTAATTGCAGAAAAGAAGCCAAAAAAATGGGATGATGATGGAATTGAAAACTGTGAGACATACATGCAAATCACCGTACAAGGTGCACAAATTTGTGGTATCCAGTCAACCATGCATAGAATCCTACTTGTACAATTTACTTTCTTTCCTGAAAAATGAGAAATAGGTTGTTTTTACATTGTTTGTAATTTCAGAATTCCAAAAGAGGAAGTGGATGAAATAGTTCATTTTGAACACAATGAACATGAGGTTTGCACCAAAATTTAGCTCCTTTATTGAATTTGAGTTGGTTTTTTTTTTTTTTTTTGTGGATAGAAGTTAGTCCTTTTAAGTGTTAAACAATTTCAAAATTAAGTGCCATTGTTCCTAATCATCTTGCAGCACATAGCTGTCTTCTGTGGGGGCAATTGTTATATGTTGCCTGTTACTGATAAAGGTAAATTCATATCAGTGCTGGATTTGGAAAGTCAGTTTGAGTGGATTGTTGCTGATGCTAAACATTCTGATGGTAAGAGTTCATCATAATCTATTTTTTAGCTCAGGGTTTTCTAAGAGAAATAAGGTTGCAGCAGAATCCTGTAAATTTAAACAATATAATTATGGTTTCCATATCTGTGTACGTAGCTCATAAAGCTATTGAAATTTACTGGTAGCTAGAGAATTTTGGAAAGTGGCCAGAGAATTTTCTGATGTCTTATGAACTTTCCTGATAACTATATTACTTATGATTGATATCTTTTTTAATCTTTAAGTGTTAAATCTGTTTCACTGTAGTTATTTTTATTGTGGGTTTTTTTGCTTGATAATGTATAAACATGTATGCATTGCTAGTTTCATGTAAATAATTGTTAATAGATGCAAAGCTGAGGCTATCAACTGACTATAATTTTATTAAAATGTAATATAACTTAATAAAAGAAGCTCAGAAAAGTACAAATCAAAGATATTGTTGGGATCACTGCAAGTTGAAAGCAAGTCATATTTGTTCAAAGTGAATTGGTCTTGTAACCTGAATACCAGAATTGTGTCATGTTCATGATTGATGTCTTTTTCTTCCAAATTTAGTCACCAAAGACCAGCCTGATGGAAGTGTACCAGCACTGACAGCTCTACCAAGAACAGAGTGGGCCAAAATCAGAAAAGAATACTTTTCTGAGAGTCTGAATCGACAAACCCTGGAGGCAATAGAAGAGGCTATGTTTGTGGTAAAATAACAGATTGTTATTTAAACCAACAACAACAATAGAAACATCAACAAGCTACTTTTTTAATGTGGTGTAAACCCCTTTGCACCATAACATAAGTATCCATATTCTCCATACCCTCTCTGTAAGTTTCTTTTGGAACTCACTAGGAGAATTTGTTTGACAATCAAAGCTTCTTACGTTGATGATCATTTCCTCTATACTTATACTTAGGGTTAGCTTTATGAATGATTCAGCAGTAGTACTGTGAGGGGAAATTAGATGCTGGGCACTTCTAGGGTTTGAATTGTGTCCCTTAGTTGAAGTTTTCCTGTGTCCTCATCACCTTTTTTCTTGACAATGTACTTGTTCCATTGGTACAAATCACTTACACCTGTAGTAGCTAGTCTTTGCAGTAAGTGAAATACAGCTCTGGCTGCAGCTTTCATCACCAGTTTGGTGTCTTTACATTGCAGGTCATTCTGGATGAGAATTCCTTCACTGATTTGACTGAACGCTCAAAGTATCTACTGCATGGTGATGGGCGTAGCTTTTGGTTTGATAAAAGTTTCTGTTTGATGGTATTTTCTGATGGTAGATGTGGGATCAATGCTGAGCATTCTTGGGCTGATGCACCTGTCATTGGGCACATGTTGGAGTATGCCCTTACCTATGAGTAAGTTTGATCAGTGCCATGCTGGTTGTTTCAAAGCTTTTTGTTCCCAAAGCATGGCAATATTTTCTTTGGTAAGCAGTTCTAATTACAGTACATCGTAGGTCAAAATGGTTTTCATAAAAGAAAACAGGCATGAGTTGTATAAATCACTATCCAGTGCATAAGTGATAGCAAAATGTATAGTGCTATCCACTGGATAGAGATTTATCCAGTGGATAGTGCTATCTGACCTTTTAACTACTGGGGCCTGGTATAAAACTGAGATGAAGAAAAGATTGTCTCTTCTTTCTTCAAGAAGAATCCTTTAGATCACTTTGCTTAGTGTTTTTATCTTTTCGGCATGTTTTGTGAAAACTTATTTTTTTTTGTCCTCTAATTTTCTAGTAGGCAATCAACCAGAGTGAAAACAAAAATAAAGTGAAGAGATCAGTCTTAGCTATACTTACTGATTTGTAGAATTAGTCCAACAAATTCAGCACTTTGGATCATGTGACAATAACAATTTTATCTTATTGAGGAGGCGAATGACTGTCTTTTGTTAACTATGTGGCCTTCTCAACAGGTATATTTATAGAACATACAATGACAAAGGTAAATGCACTCCTATTGGTGGTGCTCACAGGAGTGCCAGCTTGAGGACACACAACCTCCAAAAGCCTGCCAGGTTATACTGGGATGTAACTCCTAAACTTGCAGACATCATTGAAGATGCTGTCAAGTTTGCTCAAAAGGTATAGGTTTGCATTGCATTTTACAGTCAGTTAGTGTCAGCAAAATAAAGATTGTCAATTTATGGGCACAGAAAATTTAATTGTCCTTATCAAAGACCATGGAATCTCTCCAGGATTTCCTTAACATTTTTGTTGACAAGAGAACCCTTCCTCACCATTCTTCCTTGACCCTTTAATTCCCAGAAGTGATTATCATGTAACTACTTCCTATAATATCTATACATTATCCAGCAAACAGGTCGTGAGAATACTCAAACTCATCAGGTACAAGATATTACCTTGATCGAACACCAAATTCTCGTAACCAATTACAAGGAAATGTGTGGCAGCTAGAGGGGAGAATTAACAATCAGATCTCGAGAGTTAAGGGGTTAAACCACCATAAGCTTTTCATTCCTGATAACACAACTCTTAATAATCCCTCCTCTCCCTCACCTTTAAAGACTGAGTTAAGCAATTACTGACTTATTGAAACATGTAAACCAGAGGTTTTAGTTATTTTCTACTACAATTATTTTTTGTTGTGTTCCAGAATAATGAAGACATTCAGCATAAAGTTATAGTTCATGATGCATTTGGAAAAGGCTTCATCAAGAGTGTAAAGGTAGGCCTCTCAGTGTTGTGTTCAAAAAAAAAAAAGCTTTTTTGCACAAGGCAAGGACTTAGAAACTCTGAAAGTATAATGACAAACCTCTTTGTGCAGAATATTTCTGTGGAAATTATTTAGATGTTAAATTAACCTTTTCACTTCCAAGATCTTGTTAGTAATTCTCTTCACTTTCTGTCATAAGATTCTCACCATGTCAGTTTGGAGAATTTGGTATGGATCAACTAATTATCCCTCAATTGATATTTTTCTTTATTCTCATCACTTGGCTGCTTCCTGTAATATTGATATTGTGAGAGAAAATTGGGTCTTGGTCTCTCAAGGGAACTAAAGGCTTAACTGGAAATATTTTGTCAGCATGAAAGAGTGTTTTCCTAGTCTTTATGTTGACTGCATGTGAAGCAATAGCAATCCATTTATAGAGTTTCATCTGTATTTCAAATTTTTTATCCTGATTTTTACAGATAAGTCCTGATGCTTTCATCCAGTTGGCTTTGCAACTTGCCTACTACAGAGACTCAAATGGAAGACATCCACTCACATATGAATCCTCTATGACACGCCTGTACCTCCAAGGAAGGACAGAAACTGTGCGCAGTTTAACAATTGAAGCTAAAGATTTTGTTCTCGCCATGTTAGATGACACAGTCCCACCTGAAGAAAAATATAAATTACTTCAAAAAGCTGCAGATCTTCATGCTAAGATGTACAAGGACTGTATGAATGGAAAAGGCATTGATAGACATCTTTTTGCACTCTTTGTTGTGTGCAAAGGTCAAGGCTATGTAAGTCCAGGAATATATTTTACTTTAAGCTTTTGTAGCAGTCATTTTCATGCCTTGATCTAATGATATATTATTTATACCCTTTTGTGTCATTTTTGTCTTCTTCCTTGTCATGTGTAACAGGAGCTACAAGTTTTATTTGCAAACCCAGAAAGCCTTGAACATTTTTGTGTTCTAAGAAAACAAATCAAATGTTAGAAAACTAAACCGAAAACAGCAATGGTACATGTGTTGTTAGTTTGTGGTTTTAAGGTGTTCTTGTGTTTGGCCAGTACACAATTGATTTGTCATACTCGTATCAAAATCTTAATAGCTTTCTAAGACACAGTAATTAGCAGCTACCCCTAACACTTTCCTCACTTTTTTCATCATATATGTGCTTGAGAGATTGTCTTGTCAGGAGTAGAGTACTGGTCAATTTGCTTTGGAATGTTATGGAACTAGTCACACAATATCAATAGCTATTAATCAATCCCCAGGAGAGTGAGTTCTTGAAAAGTGCATTAACCCTTCCATGGACACTGTCTACAAGCCAGCAGCCTCAACAACAAATGGCAGGTACCCACTTTAGTGTCACAGAGCCAGAACTTACACATTTGGTAAGATGATACACTCATTCATTACATTATTCATGTTAGTAGAATTAAGAGTAAGATGATATTATGATTTCATAACCCCAAAGACAGAGACTTACTGGCCACTGTCTCTGGATCAAAAGGACTGGGTTGCAGCCTCAGCTGACCACTATGTTGTGTTCTTGTCCCTCTCTATCCATGATTGTGAATGGCAGGGAAACCCAATGAAATGCTGATGGGGTAATCCAGCCATGGGCTGGCATCCTGTCCAGTGGTGTAGCAACATTTTTTAGGAAACCAGTTTTAGAATACAAGTAATCTCTCTTTTCAACTCAGTCTATTTCAGAGGTAAAAAAAATATTGGATTCACTTATTTGGTTTTTTACAGCAGACTTAGAAAGAAATATATTTTTTGTATTTTAACTGAAAATTAGAGATTCATCGGTGAGAAAAAGGAGTAGAAAGAAGTATTAAGTCTAACTCAAAATGCAGAGAATGTCAATGTCAGATATGATGTGTCCACAGATTTCCCCTGGAGGAGGTTTCGGTCCAGTTGCTGATGATGGTTATGGTGTTTCCTACATGGTTCCTGATGATCACAGGATTTTCTTCCACATTTCTTCCAAGATATCATCAAAAGAGTCAAACTCTGACCGATTTGTCAAACTGTTGTTTGAAAGCCTTTCAGACATAAAAGCACTTCACGAAACAGTTAAAGCTAACAAGGCTAAATAACCAGACAAGTAGTGATGTTTAAACTAAAAATTATAGTTGAACTGTTATTGGTATGGTTAGAAATTAGCAGAACTACTTTAGAATGCAGGTTGTGGTGTTTCATGAAATAATTTGCTGCAATGCAGTATATTTGATTTTTCCCACAATGTTACATTGATACTGGGAAATATTGTTTCATTTTGAATTCAACTAGAACAAATTAAGGAAAAGGATTTTGAACCATTCTTGCCCCACAAAATGTCTCTATAAAGTAAATTCAGTAAAGAGCCTCAGACCTAGAGTGCTAGAAAAAATGTTTTCTGTGTCTCTAGAAGGGCCATGAAGTAGCTCAAGAGAGCACATGAAACACATCTCGTCAATGATTCAAAACATCCTGCTCTATACTCAGTGACAATTTCTTGTTACCCTGTATCCTGTATACAAATCTGGAATTACTTGGAATTGTTTTCCAAAGTATAAGTGGACAAACTTACCTCTACATGACCAATACCCTTAACCCTTTTACTCCTAGCAGACAGGTGGAGAGAATTTAAAACACAATCAGCTGTATTTAATCTTAAATTTTCCTGACTTACATGTGGAAAGTGCAGCTGCAGGACAAAAATAATAATTGAGGGTTTGAGAGAATTTCACCAGACTTGAGGATTCAACCCATATTTTTTTAATACCACTAAATTTAAATGAAGGAGAATTCAAGATGATGTCCTAACTTCTCTTTTTTTGTGATGCTAAGTCATTGGATGGATCTATTTTTTTATCATTAAGTCCAAACAGAAACATACAACTTAGGTTATATGCTTTTAAAGGGTCCTAATTATTGTTTCAAGCAACTTGCAGTGGGGTCATGAGGTCATTGGTCCTCTTTTGATTGCATTGTTGATCGTTTTTCTGCTTTCATAACTTTCAATCACTTAAGGGGGAGAATGAGACCTGACCATAAGCTGCAAGAAGCCAATCAAAGGGGTGTTAAAAATTTTGAGCTTTCACAGATACACAACAACAAAAATGTTCAATCAAATAATTTATTTATTTCTTTTTAAGACTGTCAATATTTCATTTTTAATTTGCAAAGTGTTAGATTGTTACCTGTAGACGTTAGGTTTAAGAGTTTTACTGATACAGTGAATGCTTTTAGAGTGCTAGTGGAGATATTTTGCTTTGTGATGTGCTGAAATAAATCATTCAAAGATTTCAACAGAAATTTTTCTGTTTGAGTTCTCTGCCAACTAATTGTACTGTAGAACCTTCCCACCATAAACTTGGCTTACTTGAAGTTCTAGCTAAGTCAAAATCAATGTCCTTTCCATTCCTGAAGGTGAAATCTATTTTCTCTACAGTAGTTATCAAAGTCTTACTGCCTGTAGAGATCACATGACACACATATATCCAAAGTTTTCAGATGGAGATGAAAGTCACCAAAATGCAAATTGTTAGATAGTGTTTGCACATTGTTCAAATCCAACAGATGAAAATCCCAGTCTTGATTGTAAAGCTTCTACCAATGATATAATTTCTTATCCTAATATCAAGGCCTCCTGTTATTGTTTCTTCTTTTCTTGTTTCATTTTTCTCTTTTCTTTTTTGGCTTTCTCCCTGTCATGGTTTGCCTTTAAAATCCGGTAAATAAAGAACACTGAAATCAACCACATATCACAGAATCAGTATGTTAGAAAACTTAAAATACCTTGAGGATTTATTACTCTCTTTTTAATTGCTTGATTCCATTGAAAAAGACCCCAAAATGTAGATCTTTGAAATTTTTCCTTAGTATTTTCCCTTGTTTTAAGTGTGGCAGGTATGAAGAACTTACAAAGTGGTAGGGCAATTCTTTCACTCATTGAATTTCAAGAATTCCAAGTGATTTTAGGGGGTCAAAAGTGGTACTACAGGCAGTAAATTTCCCAGTCAACACCTGAAAATGTTGCTTGCTCACAAGTAATTTAATAGAATGAAAAAAGGATTCCTATATTTGTTAATAAGAAGGAAGACATGTATATCATTTTTAAAGGTTTCTCTCTGTTTACCTTACATTTCTTAGAGACTAGAGCATAAATGAAAATACCAAACATCAAAAAAACTATTTATTGAACTGCTTCTTAATTAGAAACCAACAAAAAGTCTTTAAGGAACAACAAATCTAATAGGCAAGCAGATATTAGCAAAGCCAGCTTCAGTAGTTAGGAACCTAAATAGAAAATAGCACCAGATTGTTATGTCTAGTATGTTTTACTTGAACAACAAAAGATTGGGTATTTGTTCTTGAAGTAAAAATCTTAAGCTGTGGGTTGAAAATAAATATAAGGATGTTTGGGCCTCGGTTCTCTTTTTAAGATTTCCTGTCACATTTGGAACTAAATCCCCTTGTCAAGACCTGCAATCATCTTATTGCTAGGACTGTTGTAATATGATTTCTCTTCGTTGATGGTTTGCTTGTAGAGGGGCACCAAGAAAGTAAAATTAAGTGCTAGATTGGACATGGAGCTTATTAAGGTGACAATGGCCTTTTCTTGCTCTTTAATGGTTCCTCAAAAAAAAAGAAAAGAAAAAAAAAGGAACAAACATGAGCCACCTGGCTGGTTGCTTTATTCAGGGCAAACAGAGTCTTAGCCATTGGCTAGCAGAGAATTGAACAGAATGGCCCAATGTAATTTTTGAACCCACAGTAACTCTTAAAATTTAAAATTTCCCTACAAAATCCATGTACTTTCAGACCCAATGGGCAATAGACAAACTAGGCAACCAAGAGGCACTTGTATTCTTGATCTGAGAGCAAATTCTCTTTCTTAATTACAAGCAAGTGGTGGATGGCAGTTTCACGAGAGAATTTGATAATTGATGTAATCTGTGAAATTAAAAGGTTTGAAAGGAAACAACTACGAAAGTTTTTATCATCAAGATTGAGAAAAAATCTTAGATCATTAGCAAAACTACTACCTGTATTAAATATGCTCAAGACTATTGACCAAAACAACATTATGGGAACAACTTCATTACTGAATCAAAGCTAAATTAAGGGGACAACTTGAGTTTGTTCCTGCTCTGGAAGTTCATTCCTTTTTTTTAAATAGAACTGCGCGATCGACAGAAATTCTACCGTCACAAAACATGATCCTCTTACATGTCATAGGCTTCTAGGACGATTGTTATCGTGAAGCATTTTTCTGTGTCGTGACACGAGTATGAATAGGATCATCATAGAAAGGTAGTATTTTAAAATAATTGTATGTTGTTAAAACACACTGAACATTTACTTAAAAAATGAGGAGAATAGTTTTTGGATAAGAATTTGTTCCAGCAAGTGTTACTGAGGATTAATGAACAGAATATGGATCAATGGCGATTGTAAGATTTATAACGGCTGATAGAAACTAATAAAAAGGAACTGAAAAATGATACAACTTACCAATTAAAAGGACTAGGAGAACTCCTGGTACAAGCAGAAGTTTTACATCAACTGAAAATTTTTCGTGAGATTTAGGATCGTTTAACTCAACCATTCTAAGAATATTAATTAACAAACTTTCCTCAGTTATCGATCAATGGAACGACCGATGATCTATTGACGTGTGTATACGTGAGTAACCCACAGAGCACAACTATGTGACCAGGCTTGTGTATCAGAGTGCACAGGCCACCCAGGAATGAACGCTATTGATGCCCTCGGTAGTTGGAACCAGGTCTCCGTTTAGTTGCAAATTTGAGCATGTTACATAGAGATTTGCCGTGTAATGATAAGTTATATAAGCGAAAAGTTGGCGAGGCAAATAGGTCTCATTTGTCTTTCAAATAGTTCTCGGATCTCCAGCTCCTCAGTCCCCCTCCCCTCCACCCCCTCCCTCCACCCTTACTGTGCGCTAAAATTTTTGTCATTTTGCGCTGTTTCTTCAACCACAGCTTCTTTTTCCACAAAAATAGCAAATAGAACACAACAATCTTTTCTAGAACACAAAACAATTTTCTGGTACACAAACGGAAACTGAAACACAACACTGTAAGAATTAGATAACTAATTTATAAACTTTAGCACTTGGTAAATACACCATGGCTTGCAATTCTGATGATTACAGTTTGCTGAGGTAATTGAAATGTTAGTCCCCATGCAGGAACCTTCCACTTGACCTGTACAGTCATGTGCTATGAGATAACTTTAGAAAAATGCATTTGTGTTGGCAGAACTATTGTGAATACAGTGCCACCTTAAGAGACAAAAATAAATAATTTCCTGTAAGCATCAACATTTGGGAGAAGGTATGGTGGTACATGACCCTTCTTTTGCTAGGATGCATAGGGTCTGATGATTGTCATGTATATCTTTTAGCTTTCAAACTTTCAACTTTGTATTAATTGTCAAAGTCACTGCCTGCTAAAATCTTCAGTTCCTTTGCCTTGATAGCTCAACCTCATCAAAACATTGTCAACAGGAGTGATTAGCAAATTATTGATACAGACAAGAGGGCCTATTCCCACATACATCGTCCTCAATCCTGTTAGCTTACTATGGTCATGGCATTTCAAACATTGTGTATATGCCACAAGTTTTCCATTTCCCTGACTAATTACTTTGTAATAGTGTTTATATGTTGAGGAAATGGTTGGGTTGAAATATAATACAAAGACTTGCCAGTAGATAGTTTTATTACAGTTTTTATTCAGTGTAACGTAGGGCTGGAAAATAAACTAATAAGAGCTCCGCTTTTAGGCTTAGGTAAATCAATATATTAGTGAAAACTGCTATACTTTAAATGGAGAATTCTCCCCACGGTTACGCGTGACCATGGTGAGAATTCTCCATTTTACTGCCTCAAGATAAAATAAGAATCTGAAACAAAAGGAATGATAAAAAATGCTGATAAAATGCATCATTTTACGCAACAGCACGTTTAAAGTCTAGACAGTCAGAACCATAGCTAGGAAACGTGATAAAGCAATTCACTGTTTTAAGATGACGAAACTACAACTAATGCGGGTATCAGCGGCCATCCCGAGGGGTCGACCCCCGGGCACCCAGGGGC